TGGAGACGCTACATGGGAATTAGAAGAGAAAATTAGGGAAAGTTATCCTTATTTATTTTAAGTAATAAAAATTTCAAAGATGAAATTTCTGTAAGTAGGGGAGAATTGTAGTATTCTAAAATTTTGATACAATATTATAATATTCTCAATTTTATTATTATTATCTTATTCTTAAGATAATAGTCTAAATTTCTAGTTATCATAACTTAAAACAAATAGAGATTAAGTACAATATTTTTATATAATTATAATACATTAAAAATTTTATTTTAATATTCCCAGTAAACTAAGTTTCCCAGAAATTGCACAACTAAGGATAAAACACGCTAAACAGTGAAATATTGTAAAATAGAACTCTTGAGAGACCAAATATGAGGGTTGTTACATTAATAAATTTATTAAAATTAAAAAAAAAAATTATAATTTCTGACGGAAAATTCCGTAAGAAATTTTTGACGGAATTTTTCGACAGATATTTTCGTCAGAAATTTCTGACAGAAATTTCTGTCAAAAAAAATTATTTCTGACAGATTTTTTTTTTCCGAAGCCACTTTTTTTGACAGTTTGAAATTCGTCAGAAATCCGTCGGAAAAAGAAAAATCCGTCAGAAATTTACTTATTTCCGTTGAAAATTTCCGTCGGAAATCAGCATTTTTCTTGTAGTGAGTGTTCAATTCACAATGTGAGGTTATATATATTATTACAAACAAGTTTCACTTAAATACTTGTGGTTTTTTAGAGAGACTAAGAAATTTCCAAAGATAAGATAAAATTGAAAATCACTTGAGATATTTCATTGTTTTTATACCCTAAATATTTCAACACTCTTCTTGACTTCAAAGTCTATATATAAAAGCTTGAGAGAAAGATATTGAGAATACCAAACTGTTGAAATAAACACATTCTTATGTAGGTATAAAAAATAAGTCTTATCTTATAGTGCTATAAAGGTATAAAAAATAAGTCTTATCTTATAGTGCTATAAAGAGAGAAAAGGTGGCTACAACATAGCAAAACATGTTTCAAGAGACAACTTTTCCCAAATTTGGTTAAGTAACAAAAGTTTTTCTTCTTCTTATTTTTTTTTATTTGTTCTATATTTGTATAATGAAAGATATATGTTTTAAATCTTAAATCTTAAAGAGACAAAGGAAAGTAGGGAATATATTTTTGCTGAGTTAAAAAGGAAAGTTTTATGCATAAAGATATTTTCTTTTATTTCTCTTTCCTCCTCTCTTTCTCACTCTCTATTTCACTTTCACTCTCCCTCTACCTCTTGATCTATCTCTCTCTCACCCTCTCGTTTTATTTCTCTTTCTCACTCTCTTTTTTGCTCTCTCTCTCACTCCCCCTCTCTCTCCCCTTCCATATCTTTATTTCTCTTTTTTATATCTTATTATTTATTGACCTTGTCAATTTTAATAACAGTATTAAAATGTATTTTATTTCTACATTTTAATGGTATTTGTTAACACTTTACTTATTTTTTATTTGAATGAAAGGAAATAATATATTTTTATTCTTCTTAATTATAATGTAACATTTTTTAATTCTTTTTTAATTCTGTATTTAAATAATTTTAATAAACTTTCAATTTTTTAAAAATAATTTAATGTCATATTTGTAATAAGATTTGAGTAAATAAATATATCTAATGAGTTTATTTTAATAAAAAATTTTTTTGTAAAAAATATTTATATACCTAAGAATATACTATTGTAACCAAATATGAAAATTTGTACTTTTTGAGAATCTTATATGAATATTCTAGAGAACTTTTATAAGTAACTATTTTATCTATTTCTATGAATCATGATTCCTATAATTTGTAATTCGCATCAGTCAGGATTTCTAAATATGAAAAACTTTCTCTCCTACTAAACACCCTTCTAAAGCTCTAATATTGATGTGCATTTGGGAACCAAAATCACAATAAGTAATTAAATTTATAAACCCTGATATTTTACAGGCTTATCAGACATTTTCTTGGTTTTAAGGACGAATGTTAGTGGCCGACTTATGACCCAACTCAGTGAAGATAATTTATTTATAAAAAATATAACTTAATAATTATGATTATCATCATATAATGGAATAACATGTTTATAGCTGAATAAAACATAAGGTATCCAGAAAGCTTAAAAATGTGAAACAAAAAGTAAGAAATATGTTAGCCAGTGAATAAAAAAAATTGACAGTAGAGTGACAAATTAGAGTCCGTGGATCAAATAGAAAAACACTAAATACATATTTTAATTTTTTTTCAAAGTGAGGAGTGCATTTACACATCTCAATTAGGTTCACCACTCAATGTTATAGTATTCACTACTTAATGAGATCAAAATGATTATTTACTAAAAATAAAAAATAAAAAAATCTTACCTTGCGTAAAAAAAGGGTAATAAAAAAACTTAAAAAAATATTTCAAGGGTGGATAGGAAATAAAATATAAAAAAACTAAAAATTACAACATGACATTAGTAATATAAAGTATTTATTGCTAGAAACTAATTAAAGTCACGATTTGTATACTTATGACAACTTGGTTAAAAGACATAAATGGGTATAACTTGTACTAATCAATATTGGTTAAAAGCAACTAAAGTAACATATTAAAGCTACTTAAAAAAGTTTATTAATAAAACTATATAAAAAAACAATGAAGAAAATTTATTTCAGTGGAGGATACATGTCATTTAGGAAAAAAATAATTTTAATCAATAAAAAAATAAAAGTTAACGGAACATAGCCCATTGCTCCCACACATGGCATAAAAAATTATAATTAATTATAATTAATTCACAAACCAATGGATTCTAAGACGAGGCATTCACTGTTTGCACTTGGATGATTTTTAGGATGTTTAAAGAAAGAAAGAGAAAAAACCAAGTGGTGTGTGGAATGCCTCAAGTGGGGTGTTCCTTTAAACAAAGGAGAGGAAGAAGGCCTATAACTTTATACAAGGGAAGTTTTCTTCTATGTAAGTCCGTCACAAAAGCAAATATATAAATGCACTTATAGTCACAGCATTTCTTGTTCTTGTTCTTGACGTTTTCTATTTTCTGGGGTAAAACCTATGTGTTCCTTTGGAAAAATAACAAAGGTTAAGGATCACATATTTTCATTATCGGTTTAAAATATGTGTCCTGCTCTTCACCTTGATTTTGGTTTTGATCTTCATATTTAAAAATTTAGTTTATAGTACTTATAGTTATAAGATTAATTTTTGGTCCTTGTAGTTACATGTTTTTAGTTTGGTTCTTAATGTTTTATTATATTTATAAATTATGAGTAATGATAAATGTATAACAATTTATATATACTACAATTTTGTATAATTTTTTGTGTATTTACCTCTTAATTATTATAATTTTATAAATGATGTTATGAAAAGAAATAGGCACAATAAATGATAATTTTTTAAATTGTTAGTATTGTTGTACAAGTGTCATTTCTATTGAGTTTTTTTTCTTCTTATTCTAATAATTTATTTTTATTTGTTATGTTATATATATATATATATATATATTATTTCAGAGGAGTAAATATGAAATCTTGTTATGTATAGAATATCTACAAATATTTTTATATTGATATGATGTTACCCACTTTAAACTTAAATTTTTGCATAATTGGTTTTAATCAATCTAAAAGAATGCATATGAATGAAGATTTTGTTGTACTTTATAATTATTTTTATATTTCTCTTCTTTTTCTAACTATGTACAATCTAGTTTGTATTCCAACATATCCCTTCAAAATATAGAATATTAGGCCAAATTGATGTAGTAAGGTATGTATTTAGATATATTACATAAACTAAAATTGATGGGAACTAAAACTAAAACTTTTAAAATTATAGCGATAAAAGTTAAGCTTTCAATGTAAAGAGAGCAAAAGATCAAGTAAACTTGAATAAAAAGAATGTATTTAAACATTCATTCTTTATAGAACATAACTCCCAATAGAATTTAGCCAGACCCAACACAAACCAACGATAAGCAACATTCAGAGCTAAAAACAAATACAAAACGCCATTTCAACATTGGTACTAGCCAAAGACAAATTTTATGTTAGCCAAGTTCTGCGTGTTATTTTAGATGCAATAAAATAGTTACATTACCATAGCAATTTTGTTTTACTTCTTAAGCTTTATATGAAGCAAAAATAAATTTTCAAGATTCATTATCAATTATATACATCTATAACCCGATAGATTGACGTAGTGATCAGACACCTTGCTATCATAGAATGTGTATAGGTGATCTATTTAATAGAAAAACCTATATTCGATTTTTATCATATACGAAAAATCTTTTTAAATTTATTATAAGCAAGATTAGTCTCTTATTAAACGAGAATACTCGTGACAGAACAAAAATAAAAAATAAAAAATTATATACACACATGCACAAAAATAAGCCTAGAATGCATGTCCTACCCTCTAGACTAAGCATAGTGCAAGATTGCAGCTGGAGTGGAACATGAGGGCCTTGAAATGTCACGCCGGCATAGTAACTTCGTATCTTAACTAAGAAATGGTTTGTGTTTTTTCAACGACTTGGTCAAAACATTTTGTCATGTGTCTAAGACAAGCACAAAAGGACGACGGTTTTTAGTACAACGAGCTTAGATTTTGCCAAAACATAGTTTCAGCTGTTAATCAGTGACAATAAAGAGGGACATTTCCTTAGTATAGCCGATAATGGCAAGAAATGTTATCTTCAGAGATGTTAGTGTGAAATGATACATCACAATATGCATGTCCATCTTATCTCTCTACAATTCCCTTATAATCAGAGATTCATCCTCAATCAAAGATCTGCAAACTCTAGTTTGTTTCCATGACTCTTAAAGAAATTGTTCTGTTTGACATAATTTTTCACTAGCATTAATAGTAAGCTATGTCAAACTTGTGGCTCTTTTTGTTTTTGTATTCCCTTTACAACTTTTTTATCACCTAAAGTTCAGTTGTAGAGAGAGATTGAAGCAGGTAATTCATGGCAACAACAGCAAAGAATGTGTTGGTGATACAGGATGCATCTAAAATACTTAATTTAAGAGCTTTTAATTGGATCATAAATGGCTTAGAACTTAAGCCAGGAGATATGGTTACCGTAGTTGCAATCCTGCATGAGGTTTATACTCCTAGTACGTAATCTTCCACAATTGGAAGCTTTTAAGAATTTTCTTGTTTTTTCAGAAATTCTAGTTATTTATACGCTCAAAAAAGAAGAGAAAAATTGGAATATAAAGAAAGTGAGAAAATAAATAAACAAAGATAAAATAGTATTTGAGTAATTCAGGATGAAGAACATTGCAACCCTTTTGTGCATCATATTCATTTTACTTATTTGTCACTCTTTTCCCCTATCCTCCAATTCCTTTTGTAGTGGGGTACAAAATCACTGTCAATGAGGGGGTTTTGGCTGGAGCAAACCAGAGGATCATCGATGAAGAACTTGCAAAGAAGAAGGGAGAGTATCTGAACAATGTGGAACTTGCTCAGATTGCTCAACTCTATGAATCAAATAAGGTAATATCAGTACCAATTTAGAAACCTTTTCTCTAATTCTGGTTTTCTTTTGAATTTCACCTGGCTATATCATGATCAAAAAAGTAATTACACTAAGAAAATTAATGCAAAATAGCTCTAGAATAGTTTTAACTTGGTGGTAATCTAAGAGATACTTGCATTATATTATTGGAACCTGTTTAGATAAAAGTTTAGAAGTGTTTTTGAAAGCTTCTTTACTAAAAATAAGTCTTTATTTTTGGAAGATAAGCTCTCAACAGTACTTCTATCTTATATCCAAGCAAGCTGTAAGTGACAATAGTTAGTGTAAAATTCTGTGCAGTATTCTTAAAATGTAGAACTGTTGAATCATTAAACCCCAAGGTATCATTACCTTGCCGACACAATAGGGCACAACATATGAATCACCTATTTGTTATTTTGATCTTACTTTCTGCCCTAGATGTGTTAACCATGTTGAAGGGTCTCAGGAAAAGCAATATGTTGGAGCTGAAACCTTTTTGAATAAAGCTTCTGAAATTATTAAGTCTAACCAGATCATGAAGTGTAACAAGGCTACTAAAAGTTTAAAACAATAAATGCAGGAACTGTAAATCATAAATTTTATAGAAAATATATAACAAGCCAGAATTACATTGAATATCATTTCCTAATTTTAAACAAATCCTCCATTTGCAACAATTAGCACCTTTAACATTAGAAAATAAACAGCATATTTCTGCAGCTCATAGACGGCAGACCAAATAGTATTCCTTCAGACTCTTGCAAATCTAAAGTAAGAGAGTACGTTTTTCAAGAAATTAAAAGCCAAGGTGTGGATCATTCTTCACTTTCTTCAATAATATTAATATATAGATACGACCTCAAATATCTATTGCATAATACACTAGACATCATCCTCAATTTCCATATTATAATTGATAGAATAATGGATGAAAATCAATCAATGGTGTAAACTTATTTTGGTTATTCAACTAAGATGTTACAATGCATCTGTTTGGTTCCTAGCAAGAGATAAATACTACGAAAGAATATAATAATCGTCCGATGTTACATGCTTTGCTATTTTTGCAATTTATAAACTTGTGCATAATATTTTCAGGTTGCGTTTAAGATAAAGTTGTTTAAAGGATCTTCACTAAGAGATGTGACCTTAGAAGTGGCCAAAAACATAAAGGCAACTTGGGTGATACTTGACAGGTCAGGGGCAAACTTAACCAAAATTTTGATTTCACTTGGAAGTTTTATTATTATAAAGCACAAACATATGAAGTGGAATTGCATATAGAAAATCAGAGTCAGTTAAAACTACTTTTTAATGCAACTTCTAGTATCAGCATAAAAAGGCATTTAAAACTGCTCTAGCATCTTGTGAAATGTTTTGACTGCAATGGCACATTATGTTGTTTCTTCATTCTCATGGACGATTTCCAACATATAAATGCCACTTATAAACTAATTGGAAAAATCCCAGACAAAGAATCTGATTGGATACAAGTTAGAAACGCCTTTAAAAACTTCTCTACTGAAAATAAAGAGTATTTTTTAGTAAAAAGTTCTCAAAAGCACTTCTAAGCTTGTATCCAAAGAGGCTCAAAATAATTCTTCTAACCACCTTGTATGAAGACTGTCACAACACATTATTCTGATAAAATCTACTAACTGACATAGCATGGAGTATATGCAAATTGTATCTTTCTACAGAAAGGAACTCTTATTTTGAGCTTCATAAATTACTCAGACTTCTTTTACAACTTCAACTACGATGTTTCGAGCATTCAGAAAAATTTCAAACAAATTTGATACTTCCATTGTTTGCATATTTTAGTTAAAATCTCTTTTAGCAAAATATCAGGAGAATATAAGTATAAACTATAGGTCAGGTATAATAGTTTAATTCTCCCTCTTGTAGATAATGATTTAAGCTACCAACTGAAAATCACAAGAATGTCATACCTAGAAGACAATTCAACTAATCAGATAATTCAGCCACTGTGTACATAACAATAGTAATGACTTCAGCAAAGAAATATCAAATAAAAACATCTTTGGTTGTATCAATAATCTGAAGACAACCAGATATTAAAAGAAATACACATGGTTCACAGGCAAATGAAGAAAGATGAGAAGTTTTTCCAGGAGCAGCTTTCTTGTGGTATATCTATATTAAGGTGTAACAATCAGATTGAACAACTAAGAGGACCTATAGATCTCCCAGAAGAAATACAATGTAGCAGCCATGAAACATATGATGGAAGTTTACCAAGTATTCCATATAAAGATCTTTTTGGCATCGATGTTTTCCCCAACAGTGAGTACTGAAACACCATTAGATTTCAGTCCACATAGTAATTATAACAACTTCTCACCTTTTCTTGTTTCAATTTTCAATGATTTTAATGTTCCATTAAGATCTTCTGCCCTTGATTCATTTCATGTTTCAGTCTAGATCTTCTTGAGCACCTGATATTACAACTAATAACAATCTAATGACAGGTACATCTAATGATGAGCACAACCAGATACAAAGAAGTCCCTGTGAGGAAGAGGGTTGCTCGAATATTACTACAAACATTAATGAAAAAACATGTCAGACAAGTTTGCATCACCCGAGCATGGATGAAACAGAAATAAATAGTAACCAAATGATAGATAAAATAGAAAGAGATGAGCAATGCCAGGATCAAGGACAAACGCAAAGCATGCCCCATGAGATGGAGAGGGACACAACAACTGTGATTGAAAATGATCAAACAACTCAAGAAATAGCTGATCATTCGCACCAGGATGAAGAAAAGACAACCAACTTCTTCCATGATGAGAAGTGGGAATTGATGAACCCAACAAATGCAGAAGAAATGATTGATCAAACAAAAGATGATCTGCTAAGCCAGAATCAAGCACAGACAATAAGCATTTCCAATGGGGTTATATTTGATGGCGAGCAAGAGAATAGTATTTTGGAAAATTCAATGTGCACCTTCTGCTCTGTCTGCAAAACTGGACGGCCAAATATTGGACAGCATAAGGAATTCGCATATGAAGAACTCCAAGCAGCCACAGATGCGTTTTCATTGAAGAACTGTCTCTCCAAAAGTGGTCAACTATTCACTTTCAAAGGCCAACTGGAGGGAGGTCTGAAACTAGTAGTTAAGCAGCATGAAATAAAAAACACTCAATTAAGGGAAAAAATGAAGTCAAAAGTCCAAACCATCCTCAAAGCTAGACATAAGAATGTGATCATGCTACTGGGTTCATCTACATCAGAACATTTCCTGCTGACTGTTTATGAGTATGCTTGCAACGGTTCACTTGACAAGTATCTATCAAGTAAGACATGATTTAGTTGTATATGCAGAATCTGATAAATGAATAAAGGGGACTAGAATTTGATATATATGATATCAATGGCATGTATAATTTTTTACTAATTGCACTTGTTGAATTATGCAGAAGAAGGCTGCAGGCCATTGACCTGGATAGAAAGGGAAAGAGTGGCAATAGGTCTTGCCAGAGGTCTCAAGTACCTACATGACAAGAACATTGTTCATTGCAATATAAAACCAACTAGTATTCTTCTAACACATGACTTCAGACCACTGGTACATACGTGAACCTTGACAGCCTTGATGCCGATGCATTTCTGCTATCTGTCTAATTTCCAATATAAATACACATTTTTTTCATTGATGGAACTAACTTTTACTTTAAATGATACACATATCTTTAGATTGGAGATTTTGGCTTCGGGAAAGAACTTGAATTAAATTCTTCCAAAAATAAAAACAAAGGGAATTATGAATATATAGCACCAGAATGCCTGGAGAAGGGGAAATTATCGAATAAGACAGATGTATACTCATTTGGTGTGGTTATTTTAGAGTTGATCACTGGGAGAAGGACTACAGATATGATGTTAGAAGATAAAGGCCTCGTTGAATGGGTAAGTGACACAGCATTACTATCACATACAGCAAGCAAATTATCAAAATACCAATCAATAGAGTTTAATTTTCTACAAGCTTATAACTGAGAATATCTAAAGAAAAGGCTTACTTGTTATTATAAGAATGTTTTATTTTCTAGTTATAATACCTTACCCATATAACTTATAAAGCAGTTTTCAAACATATCCTTCCATCTCTGTTGGGATCACAATATTCTTCACTGATAATGTTAATTGTATTGTCCCTCATATGTAAATGGAACTGGTTCATTAAATGATTTGGATATTTCAATGCTTACTTTCTCAGTGACCTTGTTGCTTATGGCATCATACAACGCTGATTTTTTATTTATTATTTTTTCCTTTCAGGCAAGGCCTCTTCTTAAAGGAAAGAAGTACTCACAATTGGTGGATCCCATAATCAGAAACTCATACGAAGAGGACCACTTTCGTTGGCTGGTCCAAGTAACAACACAATGTCTAAAAAAGAATCCTAAGGAAAGATTATCAATGAGTGTGGTAAGTTCCAACAATTTATGATGTCAATCACTATGCAATTGCAAACTACAAATGAAAAAAGCATCATGATCATATCCCATCCAGTTTAGTAACAGTAGCTGCTCAACCTAAAGCTTAAAAGTATTAAGCAAAACACTGAATGCTTTTATAACCCCTGCAAGGGCACTCTTGTATAGCGTCACTTAATAGTGTAAACAGAATATGCATTACTTCACCAGTGCTTGTGTATATTACTCGAAGGTAACTACTCAAATATGCCTGATAAACATATGCAAATAACAGTATATCTGCATATGCACTAACCCTTTATCGATAACAATGTCCTTTTCTGTCTGGAACTAGAATATCTATATCCAGACTATGATTGCTATTTGATGATAGAATAGACCAGATTCACTTTTCATGATTTATAAGAGGATAAAAACAAATAAGTAAGAAAAGTTACACAGAATGGATTCATTGCAAGAAGACAAAAATGTTCAAGTGCCTATTTTATTATAGCTTCACATATATCTTGTCAACTTGCATCTCATACAATTGGGGAATTTCAGGTTGTTTCTTCATTACAAGGCATAGCAGAAAGTGAACTCTGCCACATGACAGAAGACATTACTCCAGCTATATCAGATTCAAGAATTGTGCCAGATATATATGGTTCACAAGGTAACAAAGAAAATCTAGAACAAAAAACATAAGCATAAATACAAACAGGATGACACAAATCGTAGTGGGTCCTATAGGAAAATTCTAGAACTTGAAAGGTTATATCATGAAAGCTAGAGCCTAGAAGAACATAACAGCCTCTGAAACGAAGGGGACAGGAGAGGATAGCCAATGCAGACAATTATTAGTATATTCTTTTTTGGTAAAAGAAAGATTAGGGGTAGGGAGGTTACTAGTTGGTGTATGTTAGAAAACCTCTTCTTGGTACTTACAATGGATTTACCAATGAAGGATCACAGGTAGGGATCAAACCAAGATCTTTGGGTTTGTATAGTTTGATCCTCCTAGCTGAGTCAATCTTCAATGACATTGGTATGTGTTTTATTACTTATTAATGCATTAATTTATCACCTGTTGGTTTATTAAATGATGTCTGAATAAGACAAAAAAGCGGACTAAAGCAAATAGCAGTATCAAATTCACAGTAGTAGCACACTGTAACATCAAAATAACTAATATTGAAAAGGTTCCACCATATAAAGTTTTAAAAGAGTAAGCAGCAAAACACTAGTGTAAAAATATTTTGACCAAGTAAATCACAAGTATATTAACAAATGTTCAGTTTGTATATTCTGTATTCAAACGGAAACCCCTTAGATATACTTGTGAAGACACTATTTACTTCATAGGTTAAGATCCTTTTTTGTCTTTATTTCATTTCCTGGAGGTGACAGAAGAGTTTAACAATAATCAAATGTAGGTCTAACAACAGCAAAAGCTGGTCAGCCAAGTCTGGAAAAGGAGCAAATTGAGAGCAGATTCTATGGGGAGGAAAATAAGTTAAGACTAATAGTTGAGAACACTCACTTTTACATGATAAGTCAGAGGGACTCTGATAAACTGAGCCAGACTGAAGAACAGATGCAGAGAAGGCCTCAAGGGGAGGAGAGGATCTCAGGAAAGATGATAATCAATGACCACACGAAGGACCAGATGGTAGTTGGTCAGCCAAATGAGTTAGAGGAACAGATGTCAAACACCCTCTATCGGGAAGACATCACAACACAGAAAATTAGCATTAATCACATGATAGATCACACAAATGGTGACAAGCTGAAGAAGAATCTAGAAGAGGGAAGCAACTTTGCTGAGATGAAGATAGGCTTAATACAAGCACCTACTAGTGGAATGATTGAACAAACAAAAGCAGATCAGCCAGTCCAAGATAAAACACAAATGCAGAGAAGCTTCCATGAGAATTTACTGGATGGACATCAAGATGAAACCATTTTGGAGAGTTCGAAGTTCTCTGCATGCTCCATTTGCAAAAGGAGACGTCTGAACATTGCATGGCCAAAAAACTTTACTTATGATGAACTCCTAGTAGCTACAGAAGGATTTTCAACCGAGAACTCCCTATCTGAAAGTGAAGATGGACCTACTTTCAAAGGCCTGCTAGAGAGACGGGAGAAAATAGTTGTTAAGAAATATCAAATTACTACGTCCCATGAAGAGGTGTTAAAGTCAGAAGTACAGTTGCTCAACAGTGCTAGACATAAAAATATGGTGACGCTGTTGGGTTCATGTACAGAGAATAGCCAACTGTTGATTGTGTATGAGCAAGTATGCAACGGTTCACTTGACCAGTACCTAACAAGTAAGGACTAATATATGACCTGTTACTTCTTAAGCATTTTATGCTGGGAATTTCATTAGACAAATGACTTTGCTATTGAGATGAAGATATAAGAGAAGAATTTTAAACATTATGCAGGGGGAAGTTTCCAGTCATTGACTTGGAATCAAAGGCTGAAAGTAGCAATGGGTACTGCCAGAGGTTTAAAGTACCTACATGAGAATAACATAATGCATGGAAATATAAAACCTAGTAACATTCTTTTAACACATGACTTTGAACCATTGGTATTTACTTGAACCTTGGTGGATTTGAAGCTTTTCTTTGTCTGTCTACAGTTTCATTACTTGTTATCTTTAAACAAATCTCTACTTTTATTTGCATATATATTTAGATTGGAGATTTCAGCTTCAGAGAAGGGAGACTTGATCAAAAGAAATCCCGCAAAGATAAAAGCGCAAGTAATTCTGGATATACAGCACCTGAGTATCTGGAGAATGGGAAACTATCAAATAAGACAGATGTGTACTCCTTCGGAGTGGTTCTTTTAGAGCTGATTACTGGCCGGAGGGCTATGGACAAATTACCTGGTGGGAAAGGCCTTGTTGGATGGGTAAGAGAATCATGTTAATAACTTGACATATTAATATGCAAATGGATATAGATTATAATTTATAGGATGATGAGCCTGACAGCAATAGTAGTTGCTATCACGTGACAGTTATCAACCCCCCCAAACCCCTCTAGGTGGAACCCTTGTGCAATGGCTCACCCTTTTAATAAGCAATTCAATCATATCGCCTTTTCAAAAAACAAAGTCTGGAGATACCAGAACAAAATCTTCCTTCTCATCTCCCATTTTGTTTATACAAAATGTTATCCAGGTTCAGGGCATTATATTTTCTAGCGATTATATTTATACATTCTATTCATTATAACCTCTCTGATATATTCTTAGGCATGTTTATTTTTTCACATCAAGAAATACAATCTGTACAGACAGTCCTGCTTGTAATTTGTCCCATAATTTTCCCAAGTATAAATACATGATAACATCAAAACATCATATATGCATGACTGGTATAAATAACATTAGACTGTCAATGCCATGCAAATACATTGTTGAGGAGGCTTATGCAGTTATGCTACTCGTTCATCATATTTCTTTGTGAATACAGTGGAGCAGTCACTTGCAAAGGTTTCTCATCTTGTTTCTGTTCATCATTGTTTCATTTTATACAGGCCGTAGTCACATAAAACCAAAACATCAGGGACTAGAAATTGTTGGAGCAAATTTAGTTATTTGCCTATACAACTCATTATTGGTTTGGGAATTTTGGTGTTCACGTTCTAATTTGGTTGGTTATGTGCATCATACCGAACCCTTTCTTTGTATTTGTTTTCCCTTCTAGGCAAGGCCATTACTGGGAGGAAAAAAGTACCCACAGTTGGTGGACCCGAAAATCATTAACTCCTATGAGGAAGAAAAACTTCTATGGTTGGTCCAAGTAACAGAACAATGTCTCAGAAAGAATCCCAAGGAAAGATTTACAATGAATATGGTAAGTCAAGGGACGTGGAATATGTCAATCAGAAAGTGCATAAAACAGAAAAAAGAAAACGTGCTAGTTCATACAGTATACCTCTTAACCAGGGACACTTTGGAAGAGTTTAGGGTTCAAGAAAATTGGTCATCCTAAAGGGCTTAGTGATTAAAAGGTTAAACTGGTATGTTAGAGTCCAAAAATGATTTTATACTTCTTCACCAGGGACACTTTGAAGTTCAACATAAGGACAAAGCCAAAATAGAAAAACTCTACAAATAATGTATGGGGGGAGTTGATTCACAGCAACAAATAATTATAATTTTCATGTTTATACATGAAAAAATCATTCAACCATTTAATATGAAGTTCTTTGATACACTATACCTAAAAGAAACAATATACAGAGTTGTAAGGATAATGATGGCATTAAATTTCAAAACCTAGATAACAATGTGAAAAAGAAAATAATTTTTATTGATGGGGCTTAAAAAAGAAATAGGTATACAGTTCACTTGTTAATTAAGGAAAATAAAGAATAATATTAAATAGACCAACACGACTAGTTCACAATGTAATTAAATATAGAGAGGAAACATAGTCTTATGGACATTTTCTAATATATATATATATATATATTGTCAACAGCATATCATTTGAAACTTACATATGTTTTCTTTCGCTATTTCAGGTTGTATCTGCACTGCAAGGCATAGCAGAATCAGATGAGTGTTGTGTAATTGAATATTCTTCCCCAGAAAAGTCATGTTTAACACATGATGATCCTGCTACGGTTAGGATACAAGGTAATTTAAGAAAACTGCAATAGGGCTAAGGCATATAGACAGATTAGAAAGCTAGACATCGGTAAAAGTAATAAATAGACAACTGAATGATATTACATGATTAAATATTTAAGAGAACAAGAAGAGATAAAAAGTAGCATCCCCACAAAAGAAAAATGTAACATCCAGGCAGTTCAAGTTGACAAAGCAACAGTCTTCATATGATGAGGAGCTTTACTGTATGCAACTGTCAACTGTTGTCCCTTTTAGAATTTAGGTTTGGCCTAACTCAACTTGAAAAGGCAAGTTATAAGATAACAATTTCTCCCACTTATATATATTATTTTGTCTATATGGACCATATCATTAGTCGATATAAGACTTGAATTTTTTTCATTAGTTACCAAAAGTAAGTAAACATAGGGATATAAAGGATGTGTTTTCAATCCAGTTAACCATGATTCCCACTTGCTGAATACTATTTTGTTTCAATATTCCAAATCAATCCCCATAGACAAAATCGTAGACATACAATCACTAAATTAACGGCTTGTTGAGTAAACTTCTCAGAAACACTTATACAAGAAAAAAAAAATAGAAAGAAAAGTTGAAATGAGCTTTTCTATAATCTAAAATTAGCTTATATACAAGTTAAAAATAAAATTTTGGATAAACTAATAGAAGAGAGCTTCTATAAATTAGTTTGGGTATAAGCTAATTTTAACTTGCAGAGGAGCTTATTTCATTTTTCTTTTGTATTTTTCTCTCCTAGAAGTACTTTAGGTGAAGTTCACCCAAACAGGCCCTAAATACTAGTTAGGTTTCTAGTATCTTTGTTTAGCTTTTTCCCTGAAGGTGGTCAGAGGGGCTTAACAATAACCAAATGATAGGTCAAATGAAGGCTGATCCAGTGAAGCAGGAACAAGAATGGATTGACAGAAACCAATATGAGGATGAAAGAAACCTAAGATTACCAGTCAAAACCAATCACATGATAGATCAGAGAAATGCAGATCAGCTGATACAGGGTGGAGAAAATGTGCAAAGCAGCCCTCATGAGGAAATGTCCACAGTAGCAGTTACCATCAATGACAAGATTGATCAGATAAACTCTGACCTACAAATCAAGGAAAAACAGCATATAAAGGGAAGCTTCCACATAGAAGAAATGGATAAAAAAGTAGAAAAAGAACAAAAGGTTAGCAAGGATAAAAAACAAGTGCAGGGAAGCTGTGATGAGGATTTGTTGGATGGGAATGAAGCCAAAATCATTTTGGAGAATTCAAAGTTTTTTATATGCTCAATCTGCAAAAGTAGGCGTCCAAACAGTGGATTGCAAAAGAAATATACTTATGAAGAACTTCAAGTTGCCACAGAAGGATTTTCAATTAAGTATTCTCTATCTGAAGGAGAATATGGACCTGTTTTCAGAGGCCAGTTAGAGAATAACCAGGAAATAGTTATTAAGCAACATGCATTCACAAGCTTACAGGAACAGAAGGCGTTCATGTCAGAATTCCAAGTGCTCATAAATGCAAGACACGAAAACGTGATCATGCTGTTGGGTTCCTGTATTAGATTAAGTCAGTTGCTGGTTGTATATGAGAAGGCATGCAATGGTTCACTTGATCAGTACTTATCAAGTAAGGATAAATATGTCAATGTTAAATTCAGGGTGTGTTTGGATAAACTGAAGCACTTTTAGGAAGAAAAAATAAAACAAGTTTTTCTTGTTTTCCATAAGTTAAAACTAACTTAAACATAAGTTAATTTGTAATTTTTTTGAGAAACTATTTAAGAGAGTTTCTATAAATTAGCTTATGAATAAGTTAGTTTTCCCTTATAAAAAACTTATTTCATTTTTCCTTTCTATTTTTTTCTCCTATAAGTACTTCTGAGAAAGTTTATCCTAACTGTTATTAGCACAAGTTTATTTTAAATTAAGTTTGAGCACCATGTACACAGACTTAGTTAAAGTATGCTAATACCAGTGAAAATTTCTGAATCATGCAGGGGGAAGCGGTAGATCATTGACTTGGGGGGAAAGGGTGAAAGTTGCAATAGGTGTTGCCAGAGGTTTAAAATATCTACATGAGAACAATATAATACATGGAAGAATAAAACCGAGTAACATTCTTCTAAATCATGACTTCAAACCACTGGTACTTACAAGTCGAACCTCGAAGCTGTGGATATATTTTTCATTTTGCCAAGTTTCAATATGAATAAGCTAATCTGCAATATTAACAAATTAACCATTTGTTGAATGCAATGCATACTTAGGTAGGAGATTTTGCGCTTGGAAAAGAAAGATGTGAATTGCAGAGTCCCTACAAGCATAAAAATATGCGAAATTGTGGATACACTGCCCCAGAGTGTCACGAGGGTGGAAAACTATCAACTAAGGCAGATGTATACTCTTTTGGTGTAGTTCTTGTGGAGTTGATCACTGGACGTATGATTACAGATAAAATACATTCACAGAAATGTCTTGTTGAATGTGTAAGTGCCTTATCATTTTATTTCTACAAACTACTGGCTACTGCAATTAATTAGGATAATATGCATAGTTTTAACCAGTCCGAGTCTCACATATGTCATGAACCTATTAAGACTCGGTTTGGTTTGAGCAAGTTTTTAGTCAAACCAGTGAACTGGTAGGTTTCTAGTGTTAATCTTTAGATGATGTAGTGATACACTCAAAAATCTAATCCGAAGAGTATAATTTAGTGTGTGTAAATGTATATACACACTAAATTAAACTATATTTTATATAAAGATATAACTTATACATTGGTGAATATAATTATTTAATACCTTAATGACCATTAAACTAAAAATCTTTATTATTATACAATTGACTTAAATAATTTATATAATATATTTTTAATTTAAAATTATATATTTAATTATATATTAATTTATATGGTTTAAGTAACCTATAATTTGATTGTTTTGTTATTATTATATTGACTACAACTTTTTTTAGAGGTTTTTTTAAGACGTAGTATAAATTTTATTAAAATTTATAGATATAAAATATATGACATGAATATATTATTTTTAAAAATTTAATAGACTAGTTCATGATTTTTAATTAGTGACGTACCAATTTAATCTCTAATTTAGTGACTCCGTATCCTAATCAACTTGATGATGGGTCCGCTTTTTGAAACATCAATAATATGTAAGCAATAACTATGTTTCACTTTTCTTTGATATATAGTGTAACCATGTCCGAGAACAATTTTGATGTTACTGTTCTTATATTCCTGAGAATTGTGAAAATAGCCATATTTGTTACTTTATTTTGTAGAGCTCAAGTCATTTTTAAAATACATCCTATAGTAGATGTCTGTGAGCATTTTTTCTGTTATAAGTAGTAACTATACGAGCTTATACAGATCATCGCATTTTCTTCCAATAGCATATTCATGGGTTAAAACTCGATTGTAGATTGGTTGGAGGAGTCAAAATTTGTTTTCTGAATCTTTTGGGTCTTTTATCGTGTGTTTGGATGAGGAATTTTACAAATTCAAGGAATTTTAAATTCTTGGTATTTGAATTACTTTAATTTCAATTTCTATATTTTAAAAATAATTTATATGTTGAGATTTTTAAATTAAATTTTAAAAAAATAAATATTAGCTAATTTTTAAATATTTAATAATTTTAAAAATTAATAGTAGATAATATTTAATAATTTTAAATATATTTTTGAATATTCAATAATTAAAAACATGAAGAGATAATAGATAAGATAAAATATATAAGTGAAATAAGAAGAAAAAAAATATGAGGAATTTCAAATTCTTACTCTTTTGGGAGAATTTGAAATTCTACTATTTCAAGGAATTTCACAAATGCTTGAATTTCAAATTCCTTATAAATTTCTCATCCAAACAAGATATTTCACCTCAAAGAAATTGAAATTCTTCAAATAAATGAATTACTCCATTTAAATTCTCTATCCAAACACACTTAGCCATTTCTCACTTTCAGTTTTCATATGGTCTGATTAGTTAAATTTCCCCCCAAGTACATTCAGTAGGAAAAAATAGGATTTTTTTTTCATAAATTAAAACTTACTTATGTATAAGTTTTAAATTTTTTTTTTATAGAAGTTAATATAAAGAGAACTTTTATAAATTAACTTACACCTCAGATAATTTTAGTCGATAGAAAAACTTACTTTATACATTTTTATTTTTCTTGTCTTATTAATGTTTTTGGATAAATTTATCCAAACATGCCTATAGAATCATTGGAATATACTTGTAAACCTATTCCACAACCTATTTTTACTCGGTAGTTGTACATTTTTAGGCTTGAACTGTTTCGATTAAATTGAAACCACAATCCCCACAGACTGTTATATCGTATTGATTTCATTCCCTATGTGCATTGGAAAATTTCTTCAGGCAAGGAACCTTCTTGGAGGAAGAAAGTTTCTACAGTTGGTGGATCCCGAACTCAGCAGCTCCTATGATGAACAAGAACTTCTTTCCTTGATCCATGTAACAGAACATTGTCTAAAAAAGAATCCAAAGGAAAGGTTAACAATGAATATGGTAAGATTTTCATATTGGAAAATGCCAGTCGAATAACTAAAATTATTAGATGTCCAAGTTTTATGCTGGGATATTAATTCAGTGTGAAGGTAGTAGGCTATTAAATCACTAAAAAGATGCAAAACATGATTTTGTTTGTCTTAATTTGTTGGAATGGAGATAGCTTAGTTAGTCGTTGATAGTTGATTGAATCTTCATAACAAGTTATGATAGTGCTCTAGAACAATGAAAATATTTGAAGTCAGATTCAGCTGAAAAAAGTTGCTTCTAAACTGTGACAAGAATGTGAAGTCAGTGAATAAGCTTTTGAGATGCATGGTAGTATAGATTTATAGTTTTATGAAGGCATTAGTTCATAGATGAATATGGACATGACCCATGATGTAAAGATATCATAATAAAGAGTAGGCTTAATTTCATTTTTATTCCTTTTAATGATTCTTCAAGATTTTGTAACCAATTAGGTCCTCCTTTTTATAAATAAAAATTAAGCAAATTTAGTCCCCATCAATTTTTTTTTTGTTTATCTAAAATCCTCAAATCCTAATTTTCTAATCAAATTCTTCAAAATAATTAAATCAATTAAATTATCTTTGTTTCTTTTACATCTCCTTCTTAATTGAGGGTTTTTTTTTCCTAATCTTTGTTTTCTTTTTTCCATCACATCACTCACCAAGATCCTCATTTTCTCTCTCTTCTTTTTTTCTATTTTTCTCTCTCTCTTTCCCACACTTGTCTCTCACCTCTCCATAGGGTATGAAAAAATTACTTTTAATATAATATGCTGATCATTATACCTCATTTGACTGATATTATTAAATTGGTAAAATTTGCAGGTTGTCTCAGCACTGCCATGTCTAGTAGATAGCAATAAAATCCATGTAGAGGAACACTTATCACCAGAAAATTCAAGTGTCTCTGAGGAGGAGCAGGAGGAACCATTGAAAGAAGATTTAGGCACAGAGAACAACAGTGAAGAAAAAGAGGACAACATAAAATGTAATAGACACTACAATGAAACAAAAGTTAATCAAAAGTGTGACATCAACTCAACAAATTGTGATTGTGAAAGTAGAGAGAAAACAGAAGAAAAAGAAAGGGCAAGCACCAAGATAAGTTGGGAAGGGTGTTCATCTTATGTTGGAGCAAGAGAATTTTACCTCGATGGAGCCCAAGAATATACAGTATGTGAAGAATTTTTCGGCTGGTGTGATTCAATTTGAGTATTGAGTATTTCTCTTAACATTACACAAATCATTTACACATTTGTTTTGTAGCAATATATGAAATGAATTGAGTAAATCATACACGAACTGATATAGATTATGCATGAGAGGTTTATCCTTCATTATCATATGCATTATGCGGAGTTTTATATATATATATAT